GGAACGGCAAAACGGCAATTGTATCCTACACAATAAGTACCGGCAAATACATTCCGGCTAAAATAAATGGGCGTTTTTACCGAAGGAAACGTCTGGAACGAGAAAAGGCTTATGGAAGAGAAAGTTTAATGCTCTAAATCTGGGAATAAATTCGATGAATTGCCACAATCCGCCAAACCCGTATTTTTCTTCAGATGGTTTACAGATCGGATGTTTTGTGTAAGCGTTTGCGTTTGTTTGACGTCATCAAATTTATTTATTTTTTGTTCAAAATACTAGGTATACCTAATGTAAGTAATCAGTCTGACTATGCTAAAATGGATGGATACAGCCCTCTACCAACCGCGCGATATGGAAATCATTAGAGGAGGCCTATGTTCAGCAGTGGACGTCCTGTGGCTGAATGGTGAGTATTATGCTAAAATGTGGGCTCTATTTCTATCTTCTTAGGATCTTCCTGTACCTAATGGAAATAACGCTAAAACATTAAAGAAGTTCATGTAGGTAATCGTACGTGACGGTAAAAAACATATTATTAAACATAATCTACAAGGAATCGCATTTTCACAACTCATCAAAAATGTGCCAAATGACGTTTCTGTGGCGTCAACTATTAATTTAACATAATGCCAAATGTTTATTAAATACTTACTACACGCGTCAAATATAACGCACAATCTGTAAAAACCCAACGGCCTTCGTAACGACCTGTAACGTCGAGTTTACCGATATAAAACAAAAACTTCACTTCTAGCCGGCCGACTCCTCAACTTTGGTAGAAATCTTCATAATGATCTTGTTGCAAACTTCTCGAGACACGGAAATAAAAATTTTGCAAACATTTTACAAGATTCTTATTCAAATGCGGCGCAATAACTCGGAGCTATTGAGCTTTTCATGTTTCGTTTACCTATTCTTCTTTTATGTAATCCTTTCAGAGAGTTTTAATATTCATCTGAAAAATATAACTTAAGGAAAATAGCACAAGGAGGAGGGGCATGAGATGGCGGTGGTATGACCGTTTGCTTCTTCCGGGTGCAAAAAGGATGGCGTTGTATGACTGTTTGCTTCTCCGAGTGCAATAATGTACAGCCAGCGGGATCGTGGTCTTCTTTTCCTGTATGTAGTGTAATTAATCAGCATATTATTATTATTTTACAAGACACCTGAAATATGACTTAACTAAATTACTTGATGTATAGAGCTAATACTCAGTGCTTTTGTGGTGTGGTCTTCCGCCACTTCTTTTCAGCACCTGCCGATATGTTTTCTCTAAGTCGTAGTAGGGCAAGCGAGTTTGGGACGTGTATAAATTCCCTGAAAAGGACGTATATACCTACTACTGATAATTACTCATTCTATTTGAAATCTGCAACCAGTACCTATATTTTCCAGAGAGCCTGTCTTAATTTCAAAATTTTCCATATCAAAACGTACCTAGGTATATTGTACGTGATAGTTTAGTTAACTCCAAAACTGACCCTTCTTTTTCTACGCTTCCATTAGATCGAGCTCTATCCCGGATGGAATATCAAACGTAAATGTGAGCTGCATCTGTCAACAGTGATTACGTGATTCTCAAAGGACCCCTCGCAATTTGGTACATCATCTCACAAAGACACGTCTGGAGGGCGTTTGTTTGATGCGAGGAAATGTTATATAAATACATAAGTATGCGAGTAACTTTACATAACTGAACTGAAAAGATTTATGTTCATGTATTATGGGAAGCTGTTATTACCGCAGGTGTTATCTTCTTTTGTCAATATTTGACAGAACTATGATTTTATTATTGTTTATCTTTACTACTCTACTACACGAGTAAGAGGGAAGATTAATTATTCATTGAAGAAGTTATTGATTGAAAAATCGGGCTATACAAAAAGTATTAGCTTGATTTTTTTTATTTCTGTTCCATTTATAAAAAAAAATGTACAAAGAACAATGATGCATGAAGGAAAATGACCTCACTTGATAGAATACGAGTAAAAGTACATGGCTATAAATGTTGTTTTAAACGTTCATGGTCACTAATATTAGAATTAATTATCTATGGGATATAATATCGGAGGGTCGTAAATAAAAAGGTAAAATAAAAGTAGATTAACTATTCTGAAGTACATGGCTTATTAATATAAATCTCTTAGGCTGGGTTGCACCATCTTACTTTAACTTTAACAAACGTCAAAAATCTGTCAAACTCCATACAAAAAGCACCGGTTATCGTTATAGTTACGGTTAAAGTTAGGTGGTGCAACTCAGCCTTAGTAGTACCTACGAAAACTTTTGAGTACGCATCGGGCTCACACTGAGACAATTTTTATTTAAAAAAAAATCTTCATGACGTCATTCATAATAAAAGAGACGTATCGATAATTATTATTATCCTTTTAAAAGAAATCGAACAAGTCCTTCAGAAAAGATTCGAACAAACAAACATGATTCTGTTCAAACAAAAAAGCATGGAATTGCGATCACGTTGCACGAAATTTTGTCACCGTTCAAGGTGATTCGTGACTGAAATCTTAATGGCGAGGGCTTATTAGACAGTAGGACGATTTGGAATTTCTTGAAATTTCTTTCAAACTTCAAGTGATTTTTCCTGGTGTAATAAACCAATTGTGACAAATTTTGGTTTAGAAAAGAAATAATCAAGGGACCAAAACTTAAAGGGTGTGAAATAAGGGAAGCTTTTAGGAGAAATTCAAGTCTGTTAAATGTATATGAACAAAATCAAAAGTAGATATTTTTTTATTAGACGAATACTGAATAATACAGTATCCTATCACGGTCGCCATAAACAAGTCTATACTTGTTGCTATAACAACACATAAAGTCACACATTTTTATTGAAAAATGAAACCTATTACAATTAAACAAGATGTCACAGTGTTGACCTTGATAAGCCATCGTCCGTACAATTCTCTTTCCGAAGTCACGCAACTCTAAAATAAGCTTCCTACAGAAGGGAATTACAGAATTACACGAACAGTTATATAGCACTTTAGGTTCTTAAGTGAATTTATTGTTATTCATTGTAATTAACTTCTACTAACGTCTTTAATAAGTAATACAAACCCCTCCGCAATTAAATTTCAAATAGATACAAATCACCACAAATCGCCTTCAGATTCCGTGACTCCGTTTTATTAGGCAGATATTTTTGGCATGATAATAAAGCTACTGGAAATTCTACTAAATACCTACTTTTTCATTATTTTGTCCTTTTATTACTCGAAGCATAAAATAATATTCCATTTACCTCTTCAAAATATTATAGAGATGATAATAAGTAATACTAAGTTACTTACTTAGTAGTTAAGTTACTTAGTATAAAGTACACTATAAAGCGTATCCCAACGGTATTGCAAGTACTGTTTAGTGTAGGTAGTTTTGACGTAGTGTCAGTGGATTGCAGAAAAGTGGCACACCATCTTTGGCAACCATAATTCCCGGTCATACATAATAAAAGTGTCCACTTTTATTCGGCGTTTATTCTTACAATTCCCACCTGATCCATAATGGTATGATAGCGCACTGTGCTACTACACTTGAAGTAAATACCGTAAAAGGTATCGTATGTGAGTATCACAACAAACAGTAGAATCACTGTTCTTTTTTGCTTGAGAAAAAAATCTTGACCTAGTTACCTGATAAGTAATTGGATGCAGAAGTCCTAGACGCAAGTAGTCCAACCAACTGTCATGATGTGGTTGGCTCATCGATGGATACAAACCTTCAAGATGTGCTCCATATTTTTACTGTTATGGGTAGCGAAAATTAGCCAAAGACAGGTATAGTTGTTGCAATTCACGAAGGCGAGTGAGCTTTACATGTGTGGTGGCTCACTACTGTTCGTTTTTCAAAAGTTCTGATAGACATTACGCTATCGTTAAGTGCATGAACACGTACACACACAAGTAAAGCTCACTGGCTTTCGTGAGTTGCAAGAACTATTCTTCGGAATTCGCTGTCTGCTACCGTCTTTCCCGAACGCTACAATCCGGGCCTTTTCAAGGCTAGAGTGAATAGGCACTTACAGGGCAGATGTGTACCATCCTAGACTGCACCTCACTTATCGTCAGGTGAATTGCCTTTTTTGCAAAAAGACTTTTTGTTATTAATATTCATTTCGCAGTGACGAAAAGATACCAAATACTACTTGTTCTAGTCTAGTTGCATATGAATACCTATGGGTTACTGATTTTGCTTCCACTGTGTCCCAAGCGGATGCGCCACATGCAGGTACTTGGACATTCAATGGTCCAATCAGCGCAAATATGACCCATTGTGTAACCGGCCAGCGGAAAATGCAGTTTTTCTCATAAATACTAAATTGCTCTAGATTCGCGTTCACGGTGTGGTTAGAATGTTTGGTCATAGTAAACCACAGTGCTGGACGATTTTCGTATTCAATTTAGATACGTCTCTACTGACAATACAAGCCATTCAAAGTGTACCAAAGTTTGTAAGTATTAATTTTTTTTACAACTGACTTCAAAAACTGATTCCCATTCCAGAACCCAAAAGTTTAGGTAATCAATCAAACGACTATATTTGTATCATAATCATTGCACGTAGGTTTTTGACTGCAATAATTATTATAGTAAAGAATTAAAATGCTAGTTCAATACAATAAACAACTCACAAGTCAAAGCATTTGGTTTGTAAATTCAACCTATTTTGTGTTTATCCTGTATGCTATTCGTTACTCCGTTACGCTTCTAGGACAGACGACAGAATCTCAAGCTAAGAACCAAAGCCTTAAATGCAGTTGTTATAAGCGCTATTTTGCGACAAACATGTACTCTAAAGAGGTCATAACTATTAGGGTCACTGTCGTAACCTTCACCTTAGTAGATGCCTCATAGCTTATATCACAAATACACAATTTATATAAAAACCTAAACCTATTAACAAGTTTTCTTAGTCATTACGTCACCTTAGTTTTGAATCATGGGCGTTTCGTTTAATGATTTAATATTAATACATGTTCTGGGTGTAGCAGTGGGCTCTACTGTTTAATTTTAGATACGAGCGCGTAGCCGTCGAGAATGGTCGCACTGTGCGTTGCTGATAAGGAATAAACAAAATGTTTGTGTTAGTCACATTCGTGTGTTTACTTGTTTCGTTGACAGTGGACAGTGCGTCGAATTCCCGTTCGGGGCACAATTCCTGTGACATCGGAGGACTGGCCGCCGAAATCGCCTCGTACGAACCCGTCGTCAAACGTATAATAGAGTATGTAGTTTCTGGGCCATACAAAGGGAAAACCTACCAAGAGTAAGTATTGTTCGCATTAACAAAATCCCCTTCGCAGAACATATTTCACGATAAGGTTTCGTTTTTCGATAGCAAATATGTCGACTTTGATTTATAAGACGGTTCATTGTGGGACAAGTAAAGGATTTTTTTGTGTTTGTATGAGCATTTATTACAAGTTTATGTATGTTTAAGTAGTAAATACACAATGTTTATTAAATAATCAAAAGGTACTTAACCTCAAGCTTTACTTTAAACTTTAACATGCGAGTTGAGCAAAAAGTCTAAGTTTCGTCTTTGACATAGTATTTAGTTGAAAATATTTATTGGCGAATCTAAACATAATTAATAGTATCAGGCGTTACTTTGCTTAAATCCAAAATTAGATATTAAAAAGAAAGAAATAAAAATAAATTATTGGTTTTAATAATAAAAACATGCTCCATCTTAGAATCCATCACTTACCTTCATGTGGAATTGAGGTTAAATAAAACAAGAGAGATCCAATAATAGTATGACTTTACGTTAACAATGACCTAAGCTCTATATTAAAGAAGCGTAAGTCACTCAATCACTCACTGACTAAACTCGGAGTTTCGACCTAGTTGACCTACTAAGCTAAAATTTGTCTGATAGGTACGTAATTTATAGCTAGGAGACGTCAGCTAACAACGGATTTTGGGGCAAGCCGAATTAAGGGACTCCAAAGAAAATTGTAAAGTACCTATGTAATCTCACACTTTTGCTTAAAGATAAAGATAAATACGACTTTTATTACATTACCTACCGAATACCTACGGACTCACAAGTGTTGCCTATAGTAACAGCTTAATATTATGTTCTAATTAAGGTTTTTTAATTAACGCGAACGAAATCTCAAGAGTTAATTAAATGAAACACTTAAAGCATAGAAAAACAATTTCATGATATGGATTATAGTTAAAAGAAAAACAAATTTTTGCACGGAAAAGTACTACGTCTGAAGAATAATGTTCCTTCCTCATTCAAACAATTTACCTAAAATAACAATGGTCCCCCAACAGACAGTGCCAATCACAATTCATTCATATTCAGATGAGAATATTTTTACAAGTATTCTAGGCACAAAGGAAACTGAAACATCTTTTTGGTGATTCAAATCTACAGTTCCGTCAGTAGACGGAAAACGAGACAAAATTAATACATTATTCAAGCGGAACGACAATCTTTTTAGATAAATCAACGAGATACGCACAAAAAGTTTACGAAAGATGTTATAGCCACAGCAAAAAAAGGCTCAGTGAGTTAACACTGAGTGGAAAAAGCGACCATACCAATCGCGTCAAATACTTTATTGCTAGGAGAAAAACTAAGTTTATTTACAGTTCATTGTCTTATTACTTTAAATTTGTAGCCACCGCTCATAAAGCAATAAGGTTGACTTTTATAGCTCCTATTTTAATGTTCAACTGAAAAATCTTCGTCATTTTAACAATTTACAGTTAATATTTTTACTACTTACAGGGACACCAATATCAACTTTCAATAATTTTGTGTAGTAATTTAATCACTCGTATTTGTGTTTGTTACAGATTAGCGAAGTTCGTCGATAAATTTGGAGCTCGACCATCTGGCACGGAGGTATTGGAGCATGCAATCGACTATATGATTCAATTGACCCGTGATGAAAATATTGATGATATTACAACAGAAGAATTAACGGTAACCTACATTGTTTTGACATTAATTATGCTTACTCGTAAAATGACATAACATTACACTAAAACTAATAAGTACGGTGTTCATTAACAGGTTCCTCGTTGGGCTAGAGGCGAAGAAGAATTGACTATGCTCGAGCCGAGAGTCAAGAATATGGCCCTGTTGGGATTAGGCCCGAGTGTTTCTACCCCCCCTGAAGGAATCACCGCAGAAGTTGTCATCGTCAAGAGTTTTGCTGACTTAGATAAACATCCTGACAGTGACATAGAAGGCAAAATAGTTCTATATGATGCTCATTATACAAATTACGGTGAGACTGTACAATACCGATCCCGAGGGGCAGTGAAAGCAGCGGCAAAAGGTGCCGTAGCATCGTTACTGAGATCGGTCACGCCATTCTCAATCAATTCACCACATGCCGGGATGCAAGCTTATGACGACAATGTACCAAAGATACCAGCAGCAGCTATCACTTTAGAAGATGCTGATTTACTTAGGAGGATATATTCACGCGGCGAGAAAATTGTTTTGAATCTCAAAATGTTTTCAACATCCGAAACCAAAATTTCAAGAAACACCTTAGTTGATTATAAAGGCACTGAAAAACCAGAAAAACTTGTAATAGTGTCGGGGCATATAGACAGCTGGGACGTCGGCCAGGGTGCTATGGATGATGGAGGTGGCTTATTTGTCAGTTGGGCGGTCCCTGTTATCCTTAATCGTTTGAATCTAAAACCAAGGAGAACAATCCGTTCAATATTTTGGACTGCAGAAGAATTAGGCCTTATAGGGGCTAAAGCTTACGAAGAAAAACATAGGCATGAAGCTGATAATATAAACCTCATAATGGAATCAGATGAAGGCACATTTGCTCCCCTTGGCTTAAGAGTCGCTGGCAACGCAGAGGCTCGTTGTATCATAAAAGAAGTCTTAAAATTATTTAAATCCATAAATGCCACGACTTTGATAGAAGATGATAGCCCTGGTTCTGATATTACTGTCATCGTAGAAACTGGTGTACCTGGTGCCAGTCTTCATAATGATAACAGCATGTACTTTTGGTTCCATCACACAGAGGGAGATACAATGAACGTAGAAGATGAGCACGAACTCGATCTAGGAGCAGCTTTTTGGACTGCTGCTGCTTACGTCATCGCTGATATTTCCAAAGACATTCCACGATAAAGTTATTCTAACACATTACAGCGATTAAATCACCATAATAAAATGCAAATTGTTTCATTATTTTATTCAAATAAACCTATTTTACGATAGGTAATTTTGCACAATTTTTAGTACATTTCTTAAAAATAATACCGACTCTATAAAATTTTATAGATAGTGTAGGTATTTCAGTTAAAGTTTCAGTGATTTAAGTTTTCAAAATTGTTCATAGTACATACTGCACTTTGTGTAATAGGTATTTGAAAGAAATTGCTGCTTAATTTCTAAAGAATCATATCGACGACTCAAACCTTCTAACGCCCGTATTCACAAACATTACTATGAGGTCTCACAGTGCGCGTGGACACACAGAGTGACACACAAACCAATCACAGAGCTCTATTCAACGCTGTGCGTTCGATTTCCTGCTTCACTTAAGCAAGCATCGTTTTTGAATACGGGCATAAGACCTTTGACAACATGTCAAAAGTCGTCGATTCATGTCGATGCTTTGGCGGTGAGAGGAGGCATTGCTGTGAGCCTACTATATCATGTTTTTATTGTGCCATAGCGGTAGAAGCCTCACCTGTCAGTCGGACATCGCTTGAGTAAATGAATAAAGACGTTTACACAGCTGAAGATATTTTCTCTACTTATCGATAAGATAGGATTGATGTTACATAAATAGGCTAACTCACTCGAAGCGAAATTCTGCCATATTCAGTTACAAGATGAAGGTAGTGTTTCTGTTTGCAGTTCTAAGTTTGGTTAGTGCCAAAGTCGTATATAAAGATGATGTGTGCAATGTGCTGATAGGTGATGACTTGATAGCAGAGATTGCGTCATACGAAAATGTAGTCAATGAAATCCTAAATTATGTGATCGTAGGGGAGTATAAGGGCCAAACTTATAACGAGTAAGTCGATTGAATTTTTAATTTTAGCTTATTTTATCTTCAATATTACCTGATAATAAGTAAATGGAAAATCTAGGTCAAAACTTTTTTTATAGATACTTAGTAAATCCATTAAATCCTTTTACGAGTACCTACATAATTTATTTCATGTGGCTTTTTCCTTCGTGTTTGATTAATCAAAACCTTGTTTAAAACAATTTAAGAACTTATAGAAATACCTAGTTTACTTACTATTTTATTCGAAAAGGATTAATTTATTAAAACTAGATTCCATGGTGTTTAATTAAACACCTTTTCGAAATGCATGTGCTTACTTTCATGTAACGTATCTCTACTTTTAGTAATATTTGTGTTTGTTACAGATTGGCGAAGTTCGTCGACAAATTTGGAGCTCGACCATCAGGCACGGAGGTGTTGGAACAATCAATCGATTATATGATTCAATTGACGCGTGATGAGAATATTAATGACATCACAACAGAAGAATTAACGGTAACCCCACGTCTTATACGAGTAAAATCAATTGATCGGTATCAAACAAAATCGAAATTATAACTTCCATTAAAATAAAAGTTACACGCATGTTGAACAGAGGTTAAAAATGTAATTTCTATACTACTTATACGTATGTTACCTACTTTTGTTAGTAAGATAAAGTTTGCTATTTTATTAAATATTGATAAAACAAAATCGGATTTAGGTACAGTAACAAACTAAACATTTAAAAAAATCATTATTCTAATATACGTGCGTCTTTTCTAACAGGTTCCTCATTGGACTAGAGGCGAGGAAACTCTGACCATGCTTGAGCCAAGAGTCAAGAATATGGCTCTATTAGGACTAGGCCGGAGCGTTACTACTCCCCCTGAAGGAATCACCGCTGAAATTGTTGTCGTCAACAGTTTTGCAGAACTAGATAAATATTCTGATAGTGACATAGAAGGCAAAATAGTTCTGTATGACCCCATTTTCACAACTTACGGTGAGACTGTACAATACAGATCCCAAGGGGCAGCAAAAGCTGCCGCTAAAGGTGCCGTAGCATCGTTACTGAGATCAATCACGCCATTCTCAATCAATTCACCACACGCTGGAAGTCAATACTATGAAGAAAATGTTCCAAAGATACCAGCAGCAGCTATCACTTTGGAAGATGCTGATTTACTCAGAAGAATATATTCACGCGGAGAAAAAATTGTATTGAACCTCAAAATGTTTTCAACAGACGACACCAAAATTTCAAGAAACACCTTAGTTGATTATAAAGGCACTGAAAAACCAGAAAAACTGGTTATAGTATCAGGGCATATAGACAGCTGGGACGTCGGCCAGGGCGCTATGGATGATGGAGGTGGCTTATTTGTAAGTTGGGCGGTCCCTGTTATCCTTAATCGTTTGAATCTAAAACCAAGGAGAACAATCCGTTCAATATTTTGGACTGCAGAAGAATTAGGCCTTATAGGTGCTAAAGCTTACGAAGAAAAACATAGGAGTGAAGCTGATAATATAAACTTTATTATGGAATCCGATGAAGGCACATTTGCTCCTCTTGGCTTAGCAGTCGCTGGCAACGCAGAAACTCGTTGNTGAAACTTTTTGAAAAAAATCTGCTTTTAAATTCGTGTTTTTTTGGTTATTTGATAAATTTCTCCAAAAAATGCCCCTATAACCGGTGGTTTTTACTACTTTGTATTATTCTCTATCGTATTACCTTTGTAAAACCAAAAATCGCATGTCTCTATCCCTATCACAACGTTTGCTATGAGCGTTTGAACAAAGGCCTGCCACAACATTATTCTCCGCTGCAGGTAGAGAAAATTTTAATTTTAAATAAAATGCTTATTTTACTTCGAAATCTTTTGTTTTTATTTGAAATTTAACTTGTCTTTATCTAAATTACAAATCTAGAGCCATTTTCAGTTTCGTTGTTAACGAAGGTTTGAATAGCGCACCCGGAGAGGCTTAGTTCAAACGATCATTGCAAATGTTGTGATAGGGATAGAGACATGCGATTTTTGGTTTTACGAAGGTAATACGATAGAAAATAATACAAAGTAGTAAAAACCACCGGTTATAGGGGCATTTTTTGGAGAAATTTATCAAATAACCAAAAAAACACGAATTTAAAAGCAGATTTTTTTCAAAAAGTTTCATTTTTTATTATTTGTTGGCCTTTTTTGTGTATTTTATGTATTTTTTTAGTATTGCCTGTTATTTAGCATTATTACTGTTTTTATTTTATCAGGATATACCGCTTAGTTTAAAAGTTATTACGTTTTCTTTACAGTTAGTAATTGGAAGAAAAAAAATTCTATAAAAAATTTAAAAAAAATCTCAAAAATTTTTTGACCTCTTTTTTGTCGATAAAAATAGGTCTAGTTTCGTCTATTTTCATATGTACACTTTAACGTGACTCACACTGTATAAATTATGCTTATGTTTGTTTCTTATCAGAAAAGAAAGTGGTGTTTCTTAGCAGAAAATAAATTTACTCTCTTTCTTTTTATTGCAATAACTGGTGTAAGTACTAATCCATGAAAAATGAAAAACCATATGGCATTGTTAAGTTGTCTTTTGTTTTCAAACTATGTCAAAATGCACTTGAAAATTGGTAAGTACCTAATCTACAATCTAGAGCTTAGATAGAAGTGTATCACTTTGATAAAGTAGATAAATATCGCAATCTTCGTGTTAAGTAATTTTTATCTAAAATATTATAAGAGTGTGATGACGAAAATAATTTAAGTGCTCTCAAAAACTTTGTCAACATAATCCTAAAACAAATATGTTGCCTAATCATTGGAAATGCAATAAAATAATTGGAAATGGAATAAGTAAAAAAAAAACAACATTAACTCATCAGCTTAAACTTTTTATCATAATTTTCTTAATTTATCATAAAATCTTGCCTTGGGATAACAAAAACCTGTTTTCCTTAATTAAAAAGCTAATAGAGAGTCGCTTAGATTTTATGCCTAGTATTGCCACAGATAATAAGTATTGCCTAGGTTATTACAAATTCAAGGATAACTATGAGTCTCTACACACAATTATTTATAGAGTTGTTTATATTCTACTAGCTGACCCGGCGAACGTTGTTCCGCCTTAATGGCAATAAATAAGCAGACGTTGTTTTTTAATTTCGAACGGGATAAAAAGTCTATGTCCTTCTCCTGGCTCTAAACTACCTCCCTGACAATTTTCAGCTAAATCGGTTCAGCCGTTCTTGAGTTATAAGTGGAGTAACTAACACGACTTTCTTTTATATATATAGATATGCATTATTTCTGCCTCGCTTGTTACTTGCCTGGGTGAGAAAGCATTAAGTGCGTCAATGGTCGATTTTAACAACAAAGAACAAACAAAACCCTAGATTCTGGCGGTATTATCAGATTTATCAGTAATTCAAATTCATTTTCTCCGTTTACTTATCTTTATGAATGTCAACGATAAGAAATATCATGAAGATGCGTTCAAAATGAGAAGAAAAGCGAATATTTTTCTTGGTCGACGCGAATGGCCCCACGATAAAGGCTCTAAATTATGTTATCGTATCGTGGCCATTCTAATAAAAATAAACGGCTGTCTAGGAAAGTGGCTGTCGGAGCACGTAAGGTGTAAAATGTTTTTACGCGGGTAAATCACATTATTTTTGCGACGGTTAAAAGAAAACGGGTTTGAAAAGTGGTTTAGCCTTTTAGGGTTTAGTCGTACAGGAATATCTGGGAAACAATAATAAGATTAACAATGAACATCTGATCTTAGACTGAGTTGCACCATCTAACTTTAACCGTGACTATAACGAAAACCGGCGTATTTTGTATGGAGTTTGACAGATTTTTAACATTTGTTAAAGTTAAAGTAAGATGGTGCAACCGAGCCTTAATATTTAACACAGTATACAACCCACGACCCTCTATGAATTCGGTAGGTACGCCAATTACCAAGCCAGACTGGCATGAATATTTTTTTACATTTTATTATAATAAATTACAAGTCTTCAATACTTTGTCTACTTTACCTCCTTACTTTAATGAAATATTGTTCCATAAAATTGATGATAAATTAAAGTGACAGACAACTAATTTTGTATGTGATTTATTAGCCACTGGATATGACTATATTTAGAA